ATGGCGCCTTGCCCTTGAGACTAAAGGGTTCAGAATAAGTAGGAACAAGACTGAATACATGGAGTGTCGTTTCAGCGGCAGAGAAACAGAATCAGAGGTGGAAGTTAGGATTGACTCTCACCTAGTACCTAAGGTAGACAGGTTTCGATATCTTGGCTCGGTAATCCAGGCTGATGGGGAGTTAGACGGGGATGTTGGACATCGTGTTGGAGTGGCTTGGGCCAAATGGCGGTTGGCTTCAGGGGTATTGTGTGACCCGAAGATTTCGCCCAGGATGAAAGGCAAGTTCTACCGATCCGTAGTAAGACATGTTATGTTATATGGGGCAGAGTGTTGGGCGGTTAAGAAGACTCATGTGCGTCGTCTGCATGCGGCAGAGATGCGGATGTTACGATGGATGTGTGGGAAGACAAGGTTGGATAGGATTTCGAACGAAGTTATCCGACGTCAGGTAGGCATGGTGCCGGTGGAAGATAAATTGCGGGAAGCGAGGTTGAGATGGTTTGGTCATGTGAGACGGCAGGATGCTAACGCCCCTGTACGGAGATGCGAGCGGATTACGGTTTTCGGGGGAAGTAGGGGAAGGGGTAGACCTAAGAATAATTGGGAGGAAGTAATTAGACAGGATTTAGGACTTCTCACCCTGACTGAGGATATGGCTTTTGATACGAACCTTTGGAGAACTAGGATTAGAGTAGCTGGTTAGGAACTCGGTGCTATAGAGGTTTTTTGTAGTGTGTTGTGTTTGATTGGAATCTTCTATTAATGCTTGTAGAACTTTCTTTTCATTGTACTTGGTGTTTTATCCATGCTATACTGTATACCCTATCATATTTTTTGTGCAGGTTGAGCTGGGGGTCTCTTGGAAACAGCCTCCCTGCTTCCAAGTAGGGGCAAGGTCTGCGTACACACACCCTCCCCAGACCCTACTGTAGTGGGATCCAACTGGGTTGTTGTTGTTTGTCATTAAGTATTTCATAAAATAAAATATTCTTGTCACCTCTTGTTTTGTAGAACTTTTGACGTAGTTTTTTAATATGTAATTTTTATATCTTATTGATATACCAATTTGTAAATAAAATGATTTCAAAAAGTAGGAAATTTTACTCTGTAACCCGCAATTTGTAATCAAATTGGGGACGGAGGGAGTAGTATCTGAAAGGTAACCATGCAAGGATAGGCAGCGGAATATAAAAATTTTAACATCCTAACATGATTATCTTGCCTTGAATCACGTACTAAAACATATAGTAGTAAGAAATTTATACCTTTCTTCAGAAGCAGTAAAAACGAAAAAGTCGTAGGAAGAGCGTTGAAAGTGCAAACGTAACCGTTCAAGCGTCCGGTCTCCAACTTTGACACACGAACAACGCCGGAGTCTACCACAATCTTTATGCTAGTAAAGATTATAGTAGTATAAAATATAAAGATTAAAATTGGGATAATAATAATCTTGTATATTTCAATAGAAAATATTTCTAATAATATTTAGAAAATATTATAAATATTTTCTATACACAAAATGATATTAATGGAACCAAATATAAAATTTCTCTCACTAGAAATTTTGGCCGAAAAACCACACACTAAAATCATAGCCCAAAACCCCTTTTTATGTTTTTAATGTTGTGAATTATTAATAATCAATAATACACTAAATTTCAAACATCCTTAAAAAAAAGTCAAAAGGCAATTTGTCTTTATTAGTATCA